CCTCTCCTCTCCTCCTCCTCTCCTCCTCCTCTCCTGCTCCTCTTCCTCCTCTTCTTCCTCTTCCTCCTCTTCTTCTTCCTCCTCCTCTTCTTCTTCTTCTTCCTCCTCCTCCTCCTCCTCCTCCTCCTCCTCCTCCTCCTCCTCCTCCTCCTCCTCCTCCTCTCTCTCTCTCTCTCTCTCTCTCTCTCTCTCTCTCTCTCTCTCTCTCTCTCTCTCTCTCTCTCTCTCTCTCTCTCTCTCTCTCTCTCTTCCTCTTCCTCTTCCTCCAAAAATGTAAATTTGAAAGGTCTTGCAAATGTACTTGTATATTCATATTCAGAGATGCAATGATACTTTATTTGTTATTACATTTATATCAAGGGTTGCAGGTATCTCCAAACCTAATATACACCAACATCTTGTGCTTCCGTAGTAGCTCTTGAATTCTAGTTATTAATACTGACTTTTCTCCTTTTCTCTAACAGATGCAGACAAGAAGTTCTGATGAACCGATGACGACCTTTGTTTTGTGCAATCACTGTGGCAACCGCTGGAAGTTCTGCTAAAACAATTGGAGGAATCCTTTGTGGGCCAAAATACTATTTTTTCTAGTTTTATTTTGGAGGTATTAACGATTGACTCATCCACGAATGTTAGTTGGTAAAGTTGGTATTAAACCTTCACTATCAGATAGACAAACACACGCTCAAGCACACATACACGCGCACACATACACACAGGCATACGCATAGACACTCCAATGTGGAGACATGTAGAAAAGAAACCTTCACTCTAATACTAACGTTCACACAAACAAAATGCTAATGTAAACCCAAATACAGACACAAAGACACGCACAAGCACAAGCACATGCACAAAACACTAATGCAAACACTCACAAACTGTATGTGCTAATGCATTGATAAGAACTGTTGAGAGATAATTTATGTAATTTCATACTTTTGCATTGTACTCTACTGAATAGTGCTCCGGGCTTAACACTAGATTCAACTGCAATAACTGACTGTAGATAGTGACACCATGCTAAGAACTCTTTAGCACTTGCTATTGCACTTTTTTTTATTATATTATTTTGATTTCTATATAATATTTTTGGAAGTAAAATAAAAAAAAAGTAAAATACTTTTCATTCTATCAACCCTTTTATTTTTGTAAGTGTTGTATCTTGAGAAATATTAGAAAGTTCATCTACCAGGCTTGAGTGGAGAAAAATTAAGCATAGCCTTTATTGCAGAGTTTGGCAGGATTGTGTACAAGAGTTTTGTTATTAGATATGTTGCCCACAGATGCATGAAGATTTGCTGTAAAGGAAGGGGTTTTTCAGAATAAATGTATCATGTTTTTTTTTTAATGTTTATTTGACATGGAATTTCAAGCTTTAAATTTATTTAATAGAAGCCATAGGTAGTGTAAAATCTGTAGCAGCACACTGCAGAAAGGAATTATTTTAAATTTGATCAAGTAAAGTGCATGTATTCTGAACAGTTCATTGACATAGTGTTGGTGTTCTTTTCAATTATTTTTTTATTTGTTTACTTTGTTATACATGTTCTGAACCCAAGGTCAGTTCCCCAAATGTTGTTTCCCATTTAGAAGGAACAGTTATGGATCTTTGTTTTTGTTCTTTGATATGCTTTTTTTTAAATGCTCCTACTGATTTAGGTTAAACATAGAAAAGCCTCGTGTAAATAAAACCAGGTCTTGTAACCTTTTTTTTTCCAATGTAAAGACTTGAAATTTTGATACTGATTAGAGGTAAATTTCACCACTACAAAAACTGGAAAGGAATTGTTATATTTATATACTGTAATGACACTTAGAACATAGCGTGGAAAATTGAAATTTGTTAATAGGAATATGATAGGTCCTGAAATATTTGAGTGACTTCAGTTTTATGGGCAAGTGAAAGTTACTGATATCTGATGTTTGCGAAAGTGAAATTTAGTCAAATTTTACTTTACCATTCCAGAAAAAGAAAAGCAAATGAATTGGAATCGTGTCTTTAGGAAATTAACACCACAAAACAGATGCAATTTATATATCTATTTATATATTTGGCAGTTTCCATTATGGTGTGTGAACTTGTTTATATATATGTATATGAATATATATATGAAAGGCTGTGTTTCTGAATTTTGTGGCTATATATTTGACAGGCATTTAATTTTTTATCACAGCCATCTTTTAACTTTACTGTGGAGCATATTTATCAAGCATCAATAGGAAATTTACTTGATATAGGTTGCTTTGTGATTTGTGTAATTTAGTGTAAGTCATCATGTTTATTAGTTTAATGTGAACTTGCGCAAAATTACCTTGTGTTGTCAGTACTTTGTGCGGAGCCAATGCAGTATGGGAAAAAACAAGACCATCTGTATGGCTTGAATTAATTTTATTTTCAGTTGGAGCATTTCCAAACTTGAAAGGCTTAATTCTAGAATTAATGCAGTTTTCATATCTTGAGTACTGTGTTCTTGTCAATACAAATGTACCTGTAGAAGTTCTGTTTCATTTTCTTTCCTTTAGACAGACATACCACATGAAATTCTAAGACGGATATGGTTGCACATGCACAGCAACAATCCAGAATGTCTGTAGCTGGCAGATCATTTGCATACAGTTCTGTCCCAAGTTTTTAATCATAATACACAGTACATGTTCTTGACCAGGATATCTAGTGTCCAATCCAAGAACTTCTACTATGTATTTGATGTCTTATGTGGATAAGTGTTTGTTAAAATTGTATTACCGTCATTTTATTAAAAAAACTGGAAGACCTGAGCTAAATTCAAGAGTAAATTGATAACCTTGAAATTAATCTTGATGGTGGATAAGATTCTATAACAATAGTTTTTAGCTTCATGTATTGAAAAGCTTGTCTACTCAAAAAGCCTCCTTTGAGAAATATTTCCCTTGTTCATCTTCACTTGAAAGACTTGTTACCGAGATTGAATGGTGGCCATTAAAGGAAATCAAGAAACGGAGAAAGTACTTTTTATGTGATATATGTAAATTCGATCTAGATTTTCTTCCTGCTGCAAGACATGAATATATGGACCTGTCTGGAAGTGCATATATTTGTAAATTGTAAGCATGTGTGAATGTATTTGAAAAAAAAGAAACTCGGGAAGAAAATGTAACCAATAAGTTACATAAAATCAGCTCCCGATATATATTCCACACTGAAACAGATAAACCAATTATCATTCGTAGCAAAGGATTCTGGCCCAACATTCCAAGTCCTTTTTTTCAAGATTAAACCAACATGATAGGGTACCCTGAGTGTATATTAGAGCTAAGAGCAATGATACTTGAAACTGGAAGCTTATTTTCGCAGCCTTATCGGATATATTTTAGCACTTTTCCAGGGTTGGGAATCTATAGTATAAGGCAATGGATTATAAAATGAAATGCGCGACCACCATATTGCTGTACAGCAAGAGTTAGGAAGCACTATGGAAAGCATGGATTTAAAAAGCGGGAAAAGTGCTACGTGCAAATTGTTGTGTTTTGATCTATCAAATATTTCTGGTCATATCCAACGATTATTTAGAGCCCCAGTTTCCTGTTTTTTTTTAACAGAAACGAAACTCGGTTCTCATATAATTATAGTTTTCTAGTCATGACTGGCATAATCTTACGCAACAACACATAGTCATGACTGGCATAATTAGTTTTCGTTTTATTGCTGTTTATAATCCCCCAATCCCTTGCTCATGGTTGAGCGTGGGGCTTGGGAGGCGGAAACTGAGGCCCAGTGTAGGGGATCACCCTTGTCTTGGGCCTCAACCCTCGACTAATTGTGCATAGTCACTTCTTTCCTTTTCTTTTCATCCTCTTGTTCATTCCCATTTTTACCCTTTTTACCCACAAAACTTTATCAGAACACTCCCTACCTCCTTAACTCCTTCCCCTTTAATAACCTTTATCTTGTGAAATTCATGTCGAACAAATTGCAAGTAGGACAACAAAGGGAAGTACAGGAAAACACACGAACATGCCGAAGGCCTACGACGTATTCGTGTGTTCAACTTTTACCTTATATTAAACCTCATCAGCTCCCTCTCTCTGCCCTTTTCATTGTACTGTTCAACCTGTAACTTTATCCTAGTCATCATCTCATTCCTAACATTTTCCGCTACTATATTTTACCGTTATAAGACCTTTGATATCATAAAGCACTTCCTTACTTTAGATGTTGACGCGGCAGAAAATGTTCAATAAATAGATAAATGCTGCTTGTAACTATTGTACATTGTATGGGTATAGTGCAAATCATTTAGTATGGACATTCGAGAAACCCTCAATTAGTCAGAACGTCTGCGAACCCATGTTTATGCTTGTTCAACACTGCCATGCACACATCCACAATTCATCTGTCAACGAATTGTCATGTTACGGGATTTTAAATAACTAAATGACTTTAAAGACGCCATGCTGCTATCAGTATATGTATGTGTAGCATAATCATCTAAGGTTTGGCTGAACCACTTGTAAGGAATCGGTGTGCATTTGGGCAGATGTGCAATATGTACATTTTTGTACATCCACTCTTACCTAAAAAAAGAATATTTAGAAAAATTATGATTTAGTATATGAATAACTGGTTATTAATTCAAATCCTTGCTGACATTCCTGTTCTAAGTCAGTTGAATAAGTAAGGTTTTCTCATTTATAATCAAGTCCACATGATACACATACAACTACAATGTTTTTACTAGGTCCTTTCAAATTCCAAGAACAGTTCCTGCTCCTAGTGCCTCTGGATGATCATATGGTGCATTATTGCAGAGGTATGTTCACTCATCAACCCACGAGGAAATACATTGATGAATATCTCCCAGACACAAGACAAATACTGTCAAAATATTCTACAGGTATTTCAGGTTGAGTTAAGACTATAATCTACCTTAGTAACTAGTTTGCAAGATGAAAATGAAACCAGTGCAATATTGAGGAGTAATCAGGTTTTTATGCTTGAATGGTCGCACACCACAAGA